GGACAAAATTTTCTCGCTTTATACTTGCATATCTTCTCGCCAACCAACTTTCTTCAACGGAGACAACGTACATACCTCCCCTGTACACTCCAGTAGACTAATTAAGTTTCGTTTGATTTTTTTGCACGACGTAGTCGTTATCAGAGTTCGCGAATTAAGTGGTATTTAATACTTACTTATCCTTTTACTCCGTTACTCTATCCTCTTCTCGAACACAAATCCTGATTCAAACGATCAGGTGTTACTTTACCTCAAGAGGTCCGACGTCTATCTTAAGGTTCCCAGAGTCCACCCTTGCGGGGATGATGTCCACATTGAGGGGCTGAGGCCACCTTCAGGTATCGAGGTCCATCGTGAGGGATCCGAAGTCCGCTTTGAGGGGGCAAGGTTTATCTTGAGGGACCGGGGTCCACCATGATATTTCGTGGTCCGTCCCTTCCAGTATTGCATGATTTGCTACCTAAACACGATCATCCTGTTACTAGGTCTCGTTCGTTCTTCTCATCGACCGGCCCTTTCGCCTGCAGGGGCCTCTTATTCGCCGAAACCTATTCTTGGTCGGTGGTCTTTTATCTCTTCCCTCGTGCTCCGCATGGTATCCAGTATTCTAAAGGGTCTTACCACAACTTTGACAGCACATGTATATTGAAAAAGATTTCTGTACAAGATGACGCGACGTATTAAGTGGTTAGAAGCTAAGTAAAGCAATAATCCAGGATCTGGACAAGATGATATCAACGCAAATCAAGGCGACTCGAAAAGAACACCAAGAACACTTCAATCGCGCAATGAATTCCGCGTGATCGCTTTGCAACCAATTTTTAACACAGTTAATCTTAGCATCGACTCAAGTCCACATAGAAGATCACAACCCGCTCTGGCGAAAGGTACACACGGTGAGAGAGTCAGTAAACAAGAAACGAATGTCAATAAAATTATTGTTTTCCTGGGAGCCAGTAGAGAGTCGTGATCACATCACCAATTTTGCCAATCTCATCCCACGAATGGTTTTTCTGTGCAATTTCTCGCACCGATCTCAACAGATTCGATACACATCTATCAAACGTGCCCGGTTCGCTACTTATACCTTGTGTCACAACTAATCACTCCCAGAGCGTACCACGGGGTGTACTCGCTGCTGTGGACGTGATACCCCGTTCACGCATCGAGATCTGATAGAATCCATCCATCATATTCATGGACGAAAATATGTCCCTCGTTGAAATGTTGTCTGTACTGACGTCTTTCCTCGTTATCGGCGTTCGACACGGTACAGTTTCAGCATTCAACTCGCTAAACACATGCACTAACCGCCATCATCATATGACCGTTTGCATACAGTATTCCAGAGTATCATGTGAGGCGGCTGACCCTACATTGTGACCTGCAGATGAGCGATCGTCGAGGAAATTGTCGATCGCAATTACTTTTTTACGAGACAGCGTCTGCTGCTTAATCAAAACGACACTTCGAGCCTGTTTTGAGTCTGATCTGGTGGCGGGTGACTTTGTCCTTAGGTAACTCAGATGGCACAATCCGAAAAGAAATGCTCGAATTCGATCAGATCCTGGTACGAAGGATCTCCTTCAGCGACTATCCCGAGTATCCAAGCATCGCTCAATCCGAGTCTTCTAATCTAGAACACTTTCTTCCATCATTGAGCAACGATAACCCGCCCGCGCTTAGCTCGTACTACTACTAATTAGTCATGAGTCACGTAATCGTCATCTGCGACGAATATGCATATCAGCTTGGACTTTCCACAACGCAGGTCTGGCAAGGACTGTTTCGGTTCTAGCTTTGGTGTCTGGTTTTTATCCGAAATCAACTTTGAAGGCGCTATCAGATCAAGTTTATAATCTCCTACACTCGCTTCATTATTCGCCAAGACATTCAGTGTCTCAAATATGTCCCTGGAGCCTGTTTTGTCGGGTATATTTGAAATTACCTCCTCAGTGTCAATTACTTAAGGAAGATGTTTCAAGTACGTTGGCCATCATTACCTCATCGCCTTCTGGTCGTGTTAGACATACCTTATCCATGTGCTTCGCAGTCGAATCTCCAGTCGACCTAGATCTACGTGATACCTCTACGCAACAAGCGTCTTCTTCTTTGGATGTTCCCGGCTAGGTACATATCCATGTTCCGGTCCACGAGACGTTTGGGGTCGTTGTCTTTCGCCAATGCCTGCAATTCAACACAATCGCCGATATGTTGCTCCACAACGTCGTGATTAACTGCACTGTGGTCTTTTATAGTTGTGTAACGATCGATACACGGCTGAGGCCGTCGTACTCACTCGAAGAGCCTTAAGGTTATTGTGAGTGATCCAAGGCGTTCGACAGACAGCCATCTGACAAATAAGCGGCAGAAACTTATACGGATATATGCTTCCAGATGATCGATGGACCGTACCTCCCGAGACATGGTAGACCAAGGGTTACATCAAACATTTCATCCAGACATAGTAAGATGAAATCGTCATAGAATTGTCCATCTTCGATTCGTAGTGAATTCCCGCTACATGTTTCTTCACTAGTACAGATGAGCCTGTTGCAAGACGCATTGTCATCCTCGAGAGAGGAATGTTGCGCTCAACGAACGTAGGTCTATATTCCTCTTGTAAACGGCATATAAGATAATTACTAGAGACCGAAGAGTCGGCTAAAGCTAGGCGGGACATGTATTTTGTCACCTATATCTCCAATGTAATGAGCGATCACTCATCTTCAGGGAAAGCAACACGCACAGTCTGTGTGTTAAGATCAACTCTCGTCCAGAGACCTGCAAATTATCTTGATAGCAGAATAAGTAGACCGCTCTGCTTCTACTGGCCACGACCATTTTTGACTATCCATCTCGACGTTGCGATTTTAACACAATATAGGGGCTGCGCCACCAGCCCTTCTTGGCCAACTTACAGTCGTTACGTACTGGCGAACGTAAACCAGGATTCGGAGAGCTACATCTATAATCGGAATGCCTTGTCTTTGGCATCGACTGACTTTCTACAATCTTTTGTATCCCGAATAGCGGATCTTTTCTCTCCACGTAGGCGAGCTTCATCGATTCTAGACCTCTGCTCTCATTTCGTCTTGGATGAGGTTACGAATCCAATTTGATTCGAGACTTTCTGAGGCTGAATTTTTCATGTTCCGCCATGGATATCGCTCGTTCAAGCGTATCCAGTTCCAGGACGGAACAAATGAGTCATAATGAGGCCATCCGCACACCCTGCTTCAACACAGTGATGAACCGACCCCGGTAGCCGAGCGGATAATCACTGGCACCAGGCCTGGGAGTTACGTGGACCGATACCCGCGTAGGGGCGGTAAGATTACACATCCCCGGAGAGTCACCAACAAAGCAGGCCGTGGTGGGTCGTACGCGTACCCGAATATACCCCAAACCTCTTCTCTTTCTTACACGCAGTGATAATCATTTGTGATCATATACATGGTGGGCCGTGTTACGACTTGCAAGATGGAGAATATGCTGGACGTAAATGTGCACGTCACGCTTACCGCGACTAAATTTCAGAAGCTCGGATCGAGCTCTCAATCCAGATCGTGGCAGCCCACACGTTTGCCTAAGTTGGTTTTGACAACTACTAACAACTGAAATGTACGTGGGTCGTGAAGGTTCAGCATAACGGTCTAAGTCTTAGCAAGTCTAGTCGAGTTTCCTGGACGAATGCGGCTTACACTTTTATGCAGATGATGCGACGAGCCCTCAAGACTCGTCCGTATATTTACTTTTTGTTGGTGATGGGACGAACTCTTATAGCGTCGTACTAGTCATTTACTCGATGTCGACGATGCAACAATTCCTGATAGCGTCATCCAACTCGGCAAGATATTTTATACATGGATGCCTCCTAGGCTTCTTGTACTTGGACATCTCAAGCTGCAAGCTTTCGGGTCGACGGACTGCGTCGACCTGGCTGAAGCAGTCTAAGTTTACCGCCGTCTCAACAGCTCGAACTGTTACACACCCCATTTTATCAACTGCTCTGTCTTCTGAGAATATTGATGGTGGAGCACGATTACTATCGCCCGTTCCACGACAAATACATACCCGGTGAAATTGACAATAGCGACCTGTTGCTCGTCTCGTTTCAAATCCAACAGAATGATGCTGATACCACGTCCGTATACGGTCATGCTTGTCCTTTCGACGGCAGACTATTGTATCGTCGTCAATCAAACGGGAGAAGCCTCTCCACGCGGTATGAACGCTATCCTCTCCATCATCCAACCTGAGAAACAGCATCTGTGTTATCCACCATGTTCATTCCAAGTGGACCGTCTGTGGTCTTGGACGGACCATGGAGTGCTATCAGGTATTTAGAGGCACCGAACGCTGGTACCGGCACGTTACGAACTGCCCACACTGCCAAAGCGTAGACAGGCACCTCGAAGCCTCACGTCCACTGGTCATACAGAGGTAAATAATTTTACTAAACGAACACGCGCAGTAAAAGGGAATAGCAAGTGGAGTCAATCGGTTATTTCACTAAATTAAGCTACAAAGCAAACATGTATCTACCACGATCGTCACCGAGTTTGCGCGCGTCTTGGAGCGATTGTCGATTTAGCTGTTTAAACTTATGCTATACATAACCACCAATGCTTAAAATAGTGCCGAATATTACCCTTGACGGTTTAATTCTGTCTGTATTTACGTAGCAAACTAAATATTGCAGGATATGATCAACTCAGATAACATTCACATTTACTCAATTAGGTATCAATGACATGTTACAAGTTCACCCCGTAACAGTGGCAATGTCAAAATTATAGGTCAAGTCTTTTTAGTCGAGTCGACTGCAGTCATTTTAAGTTGTCCACGGCCAACTTTTGTTATTTATGGCCAGGGCCAGTCGGCTTCCCTTGATTCAACCAGATTGTAAATAAACTCAACACCAAATTGTCATGAAAAGTAGAAAAGAATATGAACTATGACGACGGTTAGCAGAGTTGGGTTAAGTTGGTCGTTGTTTACTTGCACCCAGTTCCACCAGCAAGTACGAGGCACGCAGTGCTCGAGAAGACGGAGAGTAGATTTGTCGTGACGGACCACACTAGAGCAAATACGAAGACAAATATGCTGGCGACACCTCCCCAGAACCATGGGCGCGCGTGTTGCTTCAGCGCTTGCGTCTCACGTTTTTGACGAGGAAGCAATGGCAACCACGCGAGTGATAGTAGCTTCATCATGTAGGCGATCACGAACGTCCACGTGACTTGCCAACGCACGTGTGCGGAGTCGTGAATGACGTCGGTCACGCTCACGTCAAACAGCGCGTTGACGTTCTTTGATATGCAAGAGGAAAACGGACTGGATAGATTGCTCACAGTAGTCAGCAGCCCGTACACGGCAGCTTCGTTGCCAATCTCGGCCAGCTCCACTACAACAAATGTGGAGACAAGGAAATTCATAGCTTGTGGCAGCTCTTCCAAAATTGGTGTTCCCAGCCAGAACCACTGGCTGCGCCACACATTCCAAATGGTCAGCATGCCTACGATCGCATCCAACATGATGACCGATACAGTTGTCCAAGCAATGACGCGTCGCCAACTCCAGCCCAATCCAATACGCTTAGTAAGATACAGCGCTGCACTGAATACAACAAGTCCAAGCACGGAGAACAAGCTCTCGTTAAGTGGGCGCACTTGGGCCCAGTACCGCTGAATCGGATCACTTGCAGTAATTGCAAAGCCGTCAAAAATTCCGCTGAAAAATCGGTAAGCCAGAATTTGTAGCATGGCGGAGTTTTGAATCAGCAACCATAAGCCGTGCATGTAATGGCCAAAGTGCGGTACGTGATCACCGAGCGACGGCTCCTGCACCAGCCACAGCGCAGCAGGAATGGCCATTAAACTCAGTAAAGAAAAGATCAGCATCAACTGACTCATCGTGAATGACCACGTAAACGACCCTCCGTAGTCGTCGCTGTTCAAGCCAAAGCCAACCAAAAGAGCTGCCACAATCATTGAGACACTGCGCACAAGGTAGACTGTAGACTGGATGTTGCCACGTATATGTTCTGGTTCCCGCTGCGCAAATTCCACAACAAGACCGTCAGAAGCGACATCGGCGATCATGTAGCCCAAGCTTGCCAGCATCATTAGCACAATGTAGAGGGAGCCCGAGTGTGGTGCTTGCCAATTAATTCGACCACGCATCTCACTAGGACTCAAATCTGATAGGTCTGTGCCGCGTAACTTTGAGTCGATGTAAAAAGGAGGCGCTTGATGTACGAAAACAAGAACTAGCAGCATGCTCGAGCACATCAGCCACCCTACGACCATGTATGCCCGGCGACGCGAGCGCAAGATGGGGAAACAGTCAGACACAATACCAATGACCACTTTGAACGACCACGGCAGTGATAGCAACACGCGTGCCGACAACGTCTGGTACCCATCTAAGTGCAGGTAGTTATTCAGAAACGGGTACACAGTGCGAGGCAGTCCACCGTAGACCAAACCCACGGATGCGTATTGCACAAGTAGACCGATATGACGCCACTGGTACAAATTGGGTACGTCACCGGATCGAAGTTGCGGGCCTTCCTCGTCCTCACTCTTTTGCAACAAAGTGTCGCCAATAACGTGCTCCGATTCGTCTTTACCAAAACTCGAGGCAGCAGAGTGCGCGTACGAAAGCCGGTCCAGACGCTGCGCAGTCTCCCGACCGCTCGATTCCATTCGCGCTAGCACTCACAAATACTTGAGACTGCGATTGCTACAGCGTCTCGATGTTCTTTGACATTCTCGCCGTTGTACGCCCTCTTTAAAGCGTGGCATGCCGAATCCTCGTCCCATGTTATAGTAAGTGATACCATTCAGTACTTTAGTTGAGTCTATTTGCGGTCAGGTAACGCAGATGCTCTACCGAGCGACTGCAACAAATTCAGTGAAACGAAAGATATCGAGCTGTCGGTCCCTTTTTTCACTTTAGACAATATAGCAGAACAATCATTTAACGAATTGCAGTTGTCCCTGTCAAATCGCATACACCAAAGATCGTGTAAACTCATTTCGTGGTCAAACGTATCCGTCGAAGAAGAAGGCTCAGCTTCGAAACTGCGTCCGCTGTCCAACCTCTCGGGCGCGCACGATGGCGTCCATGTGGTCCTCGTTCACTTATGTGCTTCTCCCGCCGGCTGTGGTTCTGTGCGTGCACCGCACACCTCTGTTTATTCTATGTGCACCCATTCCCGACCACACTCACGCGTGTTCTCTATCTGTCGTTTTCTTTCAGACTGCTCTTGATGACTATTCCGCTCCCAAGTCTGTTGCTGAGCCGTGGCGTTGTCAAGTTTGGTGACTTTGTGTTCAATATCCGCATTGGGACACTGAGCGTCTTTAGCGTCATCACGACCGTCTCGTTTGTCGTGTTGCTGGCGCAAACGTACGACTTGCAGAAACGGTACGCGATGCACTCGGATCCGCATCTGGAAGTGCACTACTCGGCGGATCTACAGGTGGGTCGGTGACTGTGGGAAAAAGGGCAACAGTGGGAGAAGGAATTGGAACGGGAAAGGGTCTTACTTGATGATGTTGGATTCGAAATGTCAGAAAAAGGCTTCGCGCTGGCGGTCCGAGCGAAACTGGTGGATCAGTGCACTCACTTTTGCTATCTACTGGTGCGTGATAAACGATTGAAATGCGCGTAGTTGAGTGCAAGTTGTGAGATCAGCGTACAAACGTATGCGTTCGTGTGGGTGCGTGCAGGATGCTACTACGTTTCCACGCCTTGAAGAAGCAGCTGGTCAAGGTGCAGCGTCACGAGGACTAGATGGCGGTTCCTAAGCTGGCGTGCTGTGGCGTTGTGCGATGATACGTAATACACAGCCGATGCTGAGTTCGATAGATTGGCAAGCCACTTTGCGAACTCAGCAACGTATGTCCGCGTTCATGTTCGGATCGCAAGACCTGGTTCCGCTGTTTCTCTTGTTGTGTATTAGCTGATGAGATGCTCCTCAACGATGCTTTTGCGAATACTTATTTCGTCAACGATACTCGTTGTCTCTTCATCAAGTGGCGCGCGGAATTGAAAAATGTAGGTGACAAAGACGCATCAGTCGGTATAATTAGTGGCTCCTTGTCCTAGCCCACGAAATGATTGGAAAAGCGTGTATGATGTAGGCCGCATGCAATGGTTTGGTTGCTGCTGTTGCCGATAGGCAATGAGCTATGAGGATCCAGTGCCAACTACCGTAAAGTACATTCGGCATTGCTATGCGCACATATTTCACGCGCCAAATGTCGTTTGAACCTTAAATTGTACCTGTAGCACTATTGAATGCATCTTAAAAATGTGAGCCTAATGGAGAAGATCAGTCATGATCGTTGACTTCCATGCGATCATACGAAGGATATCTTATCGTTCCTGACTCCTGAAGCTTAGCGCCGGTCATTGTTGCAGCTCGCGACTGACTTTCGAAAAGCATTAGGGTTTGCATGAGGATCCAGCGATTAATTTATTTGCGAAGGCAATAATAATCGTCACAAGAACAGGGGCTCGTACTTGAGTCCCTTTGATTGTAATGTTTCAGTTTGTTCTGACACAGTACGAGCTATTTATACCTGCGTAGTAAATACCGATGCCTCGAAGTCTCACGTACACTGTACGTGTAGAGAAAGGTGAGTCTACTAGCAGAGCATGTGTCGTGGAAGGAAAAGGCTGAGCTGTTGTTAAATGATTGTAAAGCTGTTTTATACGATACCCACGATGTTACTTCAAACAAAGTGCTACCAGGTGTAACGGGGCATTGTTGACTACGTACTGGTTGACACGTACGGAGTATACTTCCACTGACGACAGTGGTCGACAGTGCCCTGCTAGGTGTTAAAGAAACACAGAGGAAGGAAAGGAGACTAAGTAGTCAGACTAGTCTCTGGTAAAATTAAAACTGTATTAATATAATTAAGTCCTATAACTCCTTGAATCTTCTGTTGTCCTGACTTAATTATACCAATATAACTAAATGTATGATGACGTCTACTCACCACCCATTGCGCGCGTCTAGCAGCGATTGGTGGGTTGATACATCACGATATAAACCAATGAGTAGACCCTTCGGTCATCTCAGCAATATCACCATGTCTGTGATATCGTTAAAAGAATATTTAACGTAATATTCTTTATTGTCATTATCTCTTCAAATGACAATTTCCATGTAACGGGCTGCCCCGTTACATCACCCCCTTAACTGATAGTCACCGTGTGACTATCAAAAATATGGTGGCCACCCGTTGGCCACCATTGGGACAGGGAGCGCTTGTTGGGTCCGTTTCTAATTACTTTCCACCCGACCTCGCATAGTTAACATGTCTATGCGGGGTGACTTAAGACACGCTCAGCCCGCTGCTGTGCCAGCCTCTGCGGCAGACGATTCGTCGTCTGCTGCTCGTTCTCTGCCTGCAGCAACAGGTGCTGCAGGTGCACGAGGTATCACACCGCGTGCGCATGATGACCCTGACATAGACGTCATCTATTCTGGCGGGTCAGACGTGTCTGACTCAGAAAAGCTTTTGGAGGCATCGCGTTCACCTGGGGTGCCTCGATCATCCACGACACTGCAGGACGTACGACTCGTGACATGGGTCACAGTCTGTTCGGCATGGATGATGAGTCTGATGATGAGTCAGATTGCTCATCACCGCGATAAACTCGTACTCCTTCGCACGAGCGACTTTACGATGGTGCAAGCCATCGTCATACTGACAACCGTGGTACCGACAAGGTGCCACTTCGAAGCGTGATGAGGCGAAGCCGTGGCGTTTGCCCGAACGGCTCATCAATAGCTTGTATCACGAGACAAGCCAACACCATCGAATACCCTTATTCGATGCGACTGAGCTTCACGGCTTGAGTTCCAGCGCGAAGAACTTTCGCGCTGAAGAAGAATTTTATCTCGATGTCTTTCTTAGACATCGACGGTACAACGGAAAACAAAAGCGTGACAAGGCCTCGCTTTTGGCTGCGTGGAGCGCGTTCGTCCAAACCGTAAAGAATTTTGGACGAGAAGGGTGGCTCAAGAAAGTTGAGGCGACACGCCTCAGGTTCGAAAAGCGAACGCCAACCGGTGCCAGGTACCGATTGCACTGTTTGTCGAGTGAGGCAGACATTCCATGCCTCACGTGGGGAAACCCTTGTGCGAGTTGTGCTGACAACTCGCAGCGTGCACATAGGGACGTGTATTCCCTAAGTTCGCCCTGGGGAAGGGCATACATCTCGGAGGAGATGCGTGACGCGATTGCAAACTTGCAATCCGTCTACAAGCGCCTAGGGCGCGTGTTTACCGATTAGCCCTCGGACCAATCGGATAAGTCTCGTCATACTGGCGGACGAGACCTTCAACGTCCATCAACAGATGAGAGTGGGGCTCCCAGCTGTCCCAAGAGGGCGGATACCCCCGCCAGTGGACGAGGTAGCTTGTCCTTGATCCCAAATCGTCATGGTGGTTCAAGATACGCTCCACTAGAAAGCGTTGACCACCGTGCGAATCCACCAAAGGATGTGGTGGAGGAGGAAAGACCTCCTTCAGATGATTTTGCTCACCATCTCGACTCTTACGAGATGGATCGCGCAATCGATGAATTGCGCGATAAATTGAAGCACGAGCGCGACCGGCGCTACGCTTTGACTGATACCGTGCGGAAGAACCGCATGGATCGCGAGGCTGATCGGGCGAGAGACCGCGCCGATTACGCCACAGCGCATCTTCAGGTCGAGCAGGATGTCCTCTCCCTTTTTGGCGAGCTGGCGACAGCTAGCGGGGAGATATCTCGGTTGAGTTCCGAGGTATCATATCTGTGCGACCAGACGGATCGACTGGAGCGCGAGCGCAAGAACTTGATGGATGTTATTGAACGTGGGGGCTATCTTCATCGGAAGAAGAAGGCTCGTACTGACAGTACGGCCTGAGCCTCCCCACGTAAAACGTAGGATGCGTGCGCATCTTACGTGGCAATTCGAGTGTGTATGCATTGCCCTTGCGATGCAACACTCGAAATGGCCCAATGTACTTCGGCAGCAGTTTACTACTGCCGACACTAGTGACTGCATGTCCAGGTAAGTTTACCATAGACAGTAGTACTAGGTCATTAACTTTAAATGAAAGAACATTTGCTCTTCCATTCTTGTCTGCGTTCCGTTTCTGGCGGTCTACCGCATTTGCGATGGAGTCCTGAACGAAACGGACAACCGCCTCTCGAGTCAGCAGGAAGTTCTCTGCTGACTCTTTGTTTTGTCTTTCAGTGCGCTTCGTGCGCACTGCTAAGAGGTTCTTCTCTTCTTCAGCGAGGTTGTCTTCTTCCTCGCTGGCATAATCGTTGACGATGCTGAATATCCCAGCATCGTCAGTATTGTCTGGTGTAATAGAAGCGTCATCGCTACTGCTAAGCTCGATTTCCTCGATGCCGACGTTGTCGACATCGGCATCATACGTATCGGCATGAGCGGTAATACGTGATGAGCAAGAGCCAAGACGATTTTTGCTCGAGCGCATCCCTCGCCCCCCTTAACTCAGAGGCACTCTGTATGAGGGAGGAAATACGTGGGTGGCGTAATTCATTCACGTAGAACGGTGTATGCGTTGTGTACGCATGCACGGAGTTGTTGATGGCAAACTCAACCATCGGCAAGAACTCACTCCAATGTGAAAAGGAGTGGACGTATCCACGAAGAATTGCTTCGA